GAAGAATGGATCATCGATGAAATAAAAGAGGAAATTAAAAAGTTCCTGGAAGTCAATGAAAATGAAAACACAACCTACCGGAACCTATGGGACACAGCAAAGGCAGTCCTGAGAGGAAAGTTTATAGCCATGAGTGCATATATTAAAAAGATGAAAGATCCCAAATCAATGACCTAATGATACATCTCAAACTCCTAGAAAAACAAGAACAAGCAAATCCCAAAACAAATAGAAGGAGAGAAATAATAAAAATAAGAGCTGAAATCAACGAAATAGAAACCAAAAAAACCATACAAAGAATTAATGAAACAAAAAGTTGGTTCTTTGAAAAAATAAACAAGATCGATAGACCCCTGGCAAACCTGACTAAAATGAGGAGAGAAAAAACCCAAATTAGTAGAATCAGGAATGCAAAAGGGGAGATAACAACAAACACCATGGAAGTCCAGGAAATCATCAGAGACTACTTTGAGAACCTATATTCAAATAAATTTGAAAATCTTAAAGAAATGGACAGATTTCTAGATACATATGATCATCCAAAACTGAACCAAGAGGAAATTAATCACCTGAATAGATCTATAACACAAAATGAAATTGAAGCAGCAATCAAGAGTCTCCCCAAAAAGAAAAGTCCAGGACCTGATGGATTCTCTGCTGAATTCTATCAGACCTTTAAAGAAGAACTGATACCAACCCTCCTTAAACTGTTCCACGAAATAGAAAGGGAAGGAAAACTGCCTAACACATTTTATGAAGCCACTATTACACTTATCCCAAAACCAGGCAAAGACACCTCCAAAAAGGAGAACTATAGACCAATCTCTTTAATGAACATTGACGCAAAAATCCTCCACAAAATAATGGCAAACCGAATTCAACAACACATCAAAAAGATTATTCACCACGACCAAGTAGGCTTCATCCCGGGGATGCAGGGGTGGTTCAACATGAAAATCAAGAAATGTAATAAACCACATTAACAGAAGCAAAGACAAAAACCACTTGATCATCTCAATAGATGCAGAAAACGCCTTTGATAAGATCCAACACCATTTCATGATAAAAGCTCTAAGAAAACTAGGAATAGAAAGAAAGTACCTCAACATTATAAAAGCTATATATGACAAACCTACAGCCAGCATTATACTTAACAGAGAAAAACTGAAACCATTCCCTGTAAAATCAGGAACCAGACAAGGATGCCCACTATCTCCACTCCTATTCAACATAGTACTGGAATTCCTAGCCAGAGCAATTAAGCAAGAAGAAGGAATAAAAGGAATACAAATAGGTAAAGAAACTGTCAAAATATCCCTATTTGCAGATGACATGATCCTATACCTTAAAGACCCAAAAAACTCTACTCAGAAGCTTCTAGACATCATCAATAGCTACAGCAAGGTAGCAGGATATAAAATCAACATAGAAAAATCATTAGCATTTCTATACACTAACAATGAGCAAACTGAAAAAGAATGTATGAAAACAATTCCATTTACAATAGCCTCAAAAAAATCAAATACCTAGGTGTAAACCTAACAAAAGATGTGAAAGACCTCTACAAGGAAAACTATACACTTCTGAAGAAAGAGATTGAGGAAGACTATAGAAAGTGGAGAGATCTCCCATGCTCATGGATTGGTAGAATCAACATAGTAAAAATGTCGATACTCCCAAAAGTAATCTACATGTTTAATGCAATTCCCATCAAAATTCCAATGACATTCATTAAAGAGATTGAAAAATCTACTGTGAAATTTATATGGAAACACAGAGGCCACGAATAGCCAAGGCAATACTCAGTCAAAGAACAATGCAGGAGGTATCACAATACCTGACTTCAAACTATATTACAAAGCAATAACAATAAAAACAGCATGGTACTGGCACAAAAACAGACATGAAGACCAGTGGAACAGAATAGAGGACCCAGATATGAAGCCACAAACTATAACCAACTTGTCTTTGACAAAGGAGCTAAAAATATACGATGGAGAAATAGCAGCCTCTTCAACAAAAAACTGGTTAGCAGTCTGCAAAAAACTGAAACTAGATCCATGTATATCACCCTATACCAAGATTAACTCAAAATGGATCAAGGATCTTAATATCAGACCCAAACTCTAAAGTTGATACAGGAAAGAGTAGGAAATACTCTGGAGTTAGTAGGTATAGGTAAGAACTTTCTCAATGAAACCCCAGCAGCACAGCAACTAAGAGATAGCATAGATAAATGGGACCTCATAAAACTAAAAAGCTTCTGTTCATCAAAAGAAATGGTCTCTAAACTGAAGAGAACACCCACAGAGTGGGAGAAAATATTTGCCAGCTGTACATCAGACAAAGGACTGATAACCAGAATATATAGGGAACTTAAAAAACTAAATTCTCCCAAAACTAATGAACCAATAAAGAAATGGGCAAGTGAACTAAACAGAACTTTCTCAAAAGAAGAAATTCAAATGGCCAAAAAACACATGAAAAAATGCTCACCATCTCTAGCAATAAAGGAAATGCAAATTAAAACCACACTAAGATTCCACCTCACCCCTGTTAGAATAGCCATCATTAGCAACACCACCAACAACAGGTGTTGGCGAGGATGCGGGGAAAAAGGAACCCTCTTACACTGCTGGTGGGAATGTAAACTAGTACAACCACTCTGGAAAAAAATTTGGAGGCTACTTAAAAAGCTAGACATTGATCTACCATTTGATCCAGCAATACCACTCTTGGGGATATACCCAAAAGACTGTGACACAGGTTACTCCAGAGGCACCTGCACACCCATGTTTATTGCGGCACTATTCACAATAGCCAAGTTATGGAAACAGCCAAGATGCCCCACCACTGACGAATGGATTAAGAAAATGTGGTATCTATACACAATGGAATTTTATGCAGCCATGAAGAAGAACAAAATGTTATCATTCACTGGTAAATGGATGGAATTGGAGAACATCATTCTGAGTGAGGTTAGCCTGGCCCAAAAGACCAAAAATCGTATGTTCTCCCTCATATGTGGACATTAGATCAAGGGCAAACACAACAAGGGGATTGGACTTTGAGCACATGATAAAAGCGAGCACACAAGGGAGGGGTGAGGATAGGTAAGACACCTAACAAAGTAGCATTTTGCTCTTAACGCAGAGAAACTAAAGCAGGTATCTTAAAAGCAACTGAGGCCAATAGGAAAAGGGAACCAGGAACTAGAGAAAAGGTTAGATCAAAAAGAATTAACCTAGAAGGTAACACACGCACAGGAAATCAATGTGAGTCAATGCCCTGTATAGCTATCCTTATCTCAACCAGCAAAAACCCTTGTTCCTTCCTATTATGGCTTATACTCTCTCTACAACAAAATTAGAGATAAGGGCAAAATAGTTTCTGCTGGGTATTGAGGGGGTAGGGGGGAGAGGGAGGGGCGGAGTGGGTGGTAAGGGAGGGGTTGGGTGCAGGGGGGAGAAATGACCCAAGCCTTGTATGCACATATGAATAGTAATAATAAAAAAAATTAATGAATAAGCAAAATATTGGTATATCTGTACCATGGATTATTATTCTAGCATAAAAACTAATGAAGTTCTGTTACATTCTACAACATGGATGAAATTTGAATATATTGTACTAGATAAAATAAGCCCAAGTCAAAACAGCAAATATTACATAATTTTCAAATAGGCAAATTTATAGAGACAGAAATTAGATTAGAAGCTACAGGGACCAGAAAATGGGGAGTTGTTACTTAAATTGTTAAGTCTCAAGTATGATAAAAATGTTTTGGAAATAGTGGTGGTGTTGTATTTTGTGAAATAATGGCACTGAATTGTACATAGTTATTAAAAATGGAAATATTTACCCAGTATATGCTATCATAGTTTAAAAGTGCAAAAAAATGTTTAAATTGTGTTTCTTCCTTTAACAACCTAACATGGTAGAGACACAGGAGGCATCCATCTTTCTTTCCTTCTAAAGATAGATTTCATTGGTCACAATGAGTCTTTATATATCTCTAATTGTACTGCTGACTCCATTTGTCATTTGTCATCTGTCTCCAGCATTTGGCTGAATCCAGAACCTGCCTGCTTGCTAAGTATTACATAGTGTTATTTTAATTTTAAGTACAATGAATAAGTGATTAGGAATAATTCTATTAGGATGGTGAATAGGTAAGTACAGAGTCAAATAACTGTGACCACTGGCTTTCTGTATTTCCAAGCATGCATGTACTTTGCCTTTCTGGTTTAGTTTCTTCTCTTGCATTTAGGTTTATAAATTTAGGACTGAGGACCAGAACAGTAAGCCGATTAATATGATAGACTCTAAAGTTTATTAACATAAGGAAAATGTAGTCCTACTTGATAATTTGATGTACTTCGAATCTTGTGCATGCATGTAAATGATTTCAGTAAGTTTTAAGTATGCTTTGCAAGCCATCACTATCATTTCTATTTATAAGATGCTTTCTATGTTACCTAAATATTAATAAAGATAAATTATTTAAACATTTTTAGAAACTCAACACCAACAAGTATGATTTTAAAACATTACTGTTTAATATTCTACTAAAGACACTACTTGGTGCAGCTATAGCAATTTTGGGGATATTCATGTCTGTTTATGTTTACAAATCATATCTGTGTATGCTTAAAAATCTTTGGAAGGACTTGCGAACTATTAACAGGATGTACCTATTTAGCGAATGAGAGCTTGGATTGATAGGGATCAGATGTGAAATGGAAATCACTCATTGTCTGTTTTACTTTTTGATAATTTGTGCCAAGTTGTTTTCTATTAAAAATCAAGTAAGATAATTTGGCTATGTGAGTGCAGCATATCTTATTTTCATGAGGCTGTTTCTTCTTTCATTAGGCTCTTTCTGCTTCATCTTTATTTCTGAATATCATTCCCATGAAGAGTTTTTGACAGTTGCACAATAGTGGTCTTTAGTTACAAATTACAGTGCAAACTCACATAATTGCTTGATTTTTTTTCAGGTTAGTGTCCCCAAAATGAAACATAAGCCAACCAGGCAACAGAAGAAAGTGGCAAAAGGCTATTCCTCCCCAGAACCTGATATCCAGGACTCATCTGGAAGTGAAAGTAAAAATATTTGTTGCAGACTATTCACCATTAGAGTCTAATTTGTTAAAGATATTACTATATGTAAATGGTTTTTCAAATTAACTCAAGAAGATAATGTAAAAGTTTGGGTGGTGGCAGGGATAGGGTATAAAAGCTATTTTAGATCACAAATATGTTACAAAATTAGTCCAGCAGATAAAGGCATGAGAAATGAACAAGGGGAAATAAGAACCACACTTCAATAGTGTTCTTATGCCTTACCAGCCTATAAAATTTATGGGTTACTGGATTGAATAGTGTGACATTCTTGTCCAAGTCAGATTATGTGTAAACTCTTTTAAGTCATACTGAGATTTAATTAAGGAAGGATTAAGGTAACATCTTAGACATTATGGGCAATAAACTTAAAGTCCAATATTGTCTCTTAATCAGTTTACACTATGAATTTACACTTAGTAGGGAGGCTATTTTTACCTTCAGAGATAACACTAGTGGTAAATAAAATAAGTATCAGGAAATTAAGGGATAAGTAATAAAGAGTTTAAAGGAAAGGGAGCTCAACTCCATTTGAGGGCCATCCATAATTAATTTGTGACTACTCTGTCCATAGTGTTCTAGTTTTCAAATGATATGTTTGAGACTTAAAAAATATAGATTAGTTTTATTATACTAACCTCTAGGCTGCATAAACTAGGAAATATTTTATTACCGAAGAATTATTCAGTTTAACTTCAGATTATATTTATGATTACAACTTCATTCTAAATGTCTTTTAGCTCAATCTCTAAAACCAAGCACACGAAGAAAGAAAGGGATAGAACTGGGAGACATTCAAAGTTCCATCGAATCTATAAAACAAACACAGGAAGAAATTAAAAGGTAATATGTACTGACAGTGACTAGTTATTTGAGTTTGGAGTGGTAAAGAACCCTGTTATGTAGGCAGTCATATGCACACTTTGCATTTTTGTATCATTGCTAAGTTAAAATAGACCCCTGGCCTCTTACTACCTGATTTGTAAAACTTAGAAAATTCCTTCACCACTAAATATTGGTGAGACAGAGAGGTGACTTTTTCTCTCTTGAGGGTATAATTGGAATCGCTTTTTTATTGTTGTCACATATGAGGAATGGAGCTGGGGTTGCTGGGAAAGTTAACAAAGGCTTGCTCTGTCTGTTTTGTGCATGGGTAATAGTTAATTGGAATGCACCAGTTGTTGAAATACTGAGATACTTCCCTAACAATGTCTGAGACTTTGGAATCCTCTTCTTGCAGCCCAGAACTCCTCTACTCACCACCCCATGAGCTAGCAACTAAAAGTTACTAAACAAAGAGGTTCCTTGGAGGAATCATGAGCCTAATCCAGTGTTAAGGCTAGCGTGGATTCAGACTGGTTGCCTCCCATACTATTTATCTTTTTAAAACATGTTGAAACCATTTCAGACCTGTTTTTGTGTTCCCAGCACTCAGTGCTAGTTGTGTGTCCTGAATGAATAAAAATTAAAACTTTTTTTCTCCATTCCTGGATACCTTATGGCTTACATTTAATTGCTGTCTTTATTTACAGTCATCTCCTGCTGTTCCCCTCTACCTGTCCCATGCTCTAGTCTTATGAAACTTGTCACAGCTCCCAAAATGTACTGTGCTTTCTCATATTTGAACCTTTGTCTTGACTGAATCCATTTCTTAGATTGTCTTCGTACCTTACCCATCAAGAAAATCTGTTTATTATTCAGAATTAAGTTCAAATGGCACCTTTTCATAACATTTCTAATTACTCACCTTGCCCTGTAGCGTTACTCTCTCAACTTAGTTTGCATAACTCTCTATACATCTCCCTTTTGAACACTTAACTGTATTACAGAATTGTTACTGTGTGTGCTACCCCATTGGATTGTGCTCTGTTAACACATCCTGGGTATTATCAGCCCTCACATAAAGTGTTCAAATTTCCTAACCTTATTGTATGCAAAATTAATTAACCTACTAGATTGTTTTGCCTCCTTTCTTTATAAATCTTCATACTAGTAAAACACTTTCATTGTACTAGTCCAGAAAAGAAATGGTGCTTTACTAATTAGGTTTTTTTTAGCTAACAGGTGGCATGAAGCTATTGTAAGTACATTTCATGATTAAATAAAAATTTTATTTTTGTTAACAAATGAAAAGTTTGTAGAGCTTTCTTCGATTTAGGAGCATTATGAACTCTATTGTATTATTGTTTTCCCTGGGGAATTTAGAATTTTCTTCTATTCCTACGCCTACCTCTGAAGTACAGCTAAAAGAACCTTACAGAGCTAACTAAAAGCAGACGTTTTGTTTTAAACCACTGCTCTAACAGAGAAGGTAATATGTTTATACGTCATCAAGTTTTGACAGTTATGTTTAATACTTATCATTAAGTAATATGTGTGGTACAGTGTAGAATTTAAGATTTAGACAAAGCCTAATAAAGGCTTCACATGGCATCATCAGATCCTTGTTCTGGTAGTAATTGATTGAGCTTACTTAGCTAATGTAATTAAGTGCTTTGTAACAGTATAATATCAAATTGTGAGTTTTGTGCTAACTTTTTTTAAAAATCTTCATAAAATTTATTATTGCTTATTTTTGTAGAAATATTATGGCTCTTCGAAATCATTTAGTTTCAAGCACACCTGCTACGGATTATTTTCTGCAACAGAAAGACTACTTCATCATTTTCCTCCTGATTTTGCTTCAAGTCATAATAAACTTCATGTTTAAGTAGAAGTTCTCTACAGTTGAATCAGTGAACTAGAAACATCATATATGGCCTGGGACCAGTGTTCAATTTGGTTTGGTCTTTGTTAAAACAACAAATATTTCTAAAACAAAAAATCTAGGCAATAAAGATAGAAGTGTCTACCTTTCATGTCTTTTATCCTTAACCTCAAAGAAGAGCTGTCCCATTTGGTTATTAAAGTGAGCTATGTGTTAAATGCCAGGACATTTCTAGCTTTTGTGAGAACATGTCTACATGTGAGTATAGTAAATCCACATGTATACACAGTTGTCTCTTATGTACACTTAACCTGATGGTAGTCTTTTAATCCTATAGTATGGTCTGAGATATACTATTAACATTGTTCACAACAAAAATGCTGTTGATCTTATAAATGTATGTATAGTAATCTATTTTCTTCTTAAAATAGGCACAAAACTTTTTTTTTTAAATCAAGGAATTACAAACTGGGGAATGATATAATAATAGACATACTATAAATAATTCAGAATAATATACCATTAAAATCATTTCCAAAGTACCCATCTCAGTTGTCTTAGAAACATTAAGAAAGAAGTATGAATGGTCAAAATTAATACATTGAAAAAGACAGGTTGGCAAAGTTTTTAAAAGTTTACACAAGATTTTTTAACCCCTAGAATTAATATTTATAGGAATAAGTATATATGTACTTATGTGTATGTCAATATAAAAAACTGGTATGCAATTACATGGATCTATTAGTACTTTAACATAAACACTTGTTGGGGAAAAAAGTATAGTTAAAATTGATCATGTTGTCCTTTTTTCTCATTTTATAAGTTAGCTGGTTCATATAGGCCAATTCTAGAGATATTTTTAGGTCATATGAAATACTGATAATTCTTTTTTTTCTTTCTGAAAAATATTTTAGCTTTAATTTATACCATAGTGTATTCAATGAATAAGTAGAAAATAATAACCAATATTTTACTTCAAAACCAAAAAGAAAAAGGCAATAGGAAAAGACACTGTGTGATAGCCTTTATATATACATTAAAATTGGTTTTCTTAAAATGTGCAATAAGTTGAGCATATAAGAGTATCAAGTTCTAAAGCTTAGTTCTTTATCATCCCCTCTGTTCTTATAACTAACTCTTCGGCAAACCCACAATTCTTTAAAATTCCTTTTGTTCAGGTTCAAGCATATTTTTTCTTTTTTTGTGTATTTCTTCAGTTTAATATTTTGACTGTTTTTACATAAGTATTTATAGTCCTCAAAAACAATGTTTAGGAACATGTCATCCTAAAATATACTTTAAAACCCTGAAAGTATAGATTTTGGAGTGGCTTTTTAACATGAAAATCAAGATCAAAGAGAATAACTGTTCTATCTACATTTGCCTTTGACTGAGAAGAGACAATGAGACAGAAGGAAAATTAGTTCTTAATGCTGTGATAAATATAAAATCAAGAGATGACTGCTACATTGTAAATATTGAAAACCTGTTTTTTTCTAATCAATACAACTATCTTAAGTATTCTTAAGTTTCTATGAAGAACCATTTCCCATGTAATGTTGGCAAAATAATGCTGTATTCCATATGCACGCATGAAAATATTTAACAGCTTAAATAAGATGGACCTGTATCCAGTATTGTCATTATTCTTAGAGCATATGGGTTTTGGGGTTATATTTCATATTTGTCAATATATTTTTCATATTTACATTCTATTACCAATATTATGCTCAACTGCCTATTCATCAACAATGTAGTATTTGTAAATATTGTACAGCTTGATCTTTACATGATTTAAATTAGTATTAATTTATATTATATAGAATTTGATTGGCTAATCACAAAAGTCATTTCATCATTAAACTCTGAAAACTTAAAAAATTTTCTTGGTGACCTGCCTTAGGGTTTTAGTCTTACTTGTATGTTATTTTCACTTGGTCTAAATGGTATTTTATTTCATGGATATCTTCTAAGATTGGAAAGATAAATGTTTTATTTTTTAAATTTCTTTTTAGGACAAATATTATGCTTTCTTACCCAAGGAGTCAAAAACTAAAGAGCAGGGTTATTCATGACTGTTTCTTACACACTAAAAGCATATATCTAATCTAATGCTTTCAGTTGTATGAGTTCCTTTCTATGAACTGAACACAAAACTCAGGAATTGGTGGTTTAATTTTAGATTAGCACTAATATTGGGCTTAGTATGTGAATTCATTAAAACACATAGTTAATTTTGTCTTTAGCCATAATATGTAATTGCCTTTGAATGTTCTTTGAGATTAATGTTCCTTCAGACACGAATTCATAATGTGATTTATAGTTCCCAGTTGTCTGAGAACCTCATGATGGTTTCTAGGATTTATGACCTTACGACCAATTTTCTTTTATCAAAAATTTTCTTACATGAAAATTTAGATGAGTTATTGACATGTGCCTTTTTGTTTTAGTTGTTAAGTGTACGTCTCCAGTTTTTTTCTATTTAGTGAGGTGTTGCTGACTAGGAAAAAATAAGTAAGGCATGTAAAATGTTAAGTAAGTTATAATAGTAGGTATTTTATTTGTATTTCACATCAGTGCTTTTTTGTATCACTTATAAAGGTACAGTGTAATCTTTGTCACAGCTCAATTGATAACTGCATTCCATTGAAAAGTTGGCCTTGTAAAATACAACCTTCATTCATGCTTTTGTGCCTTTAAGAAAATATTTTTGTCATTTTTATGTTATAGAACTATAATATGTTCAAAGTGTTTATAGGCTTATTTGTCATAAAAGGGTCATTTCTCTGTGTCACTTTATTTCCTTTTATATAGCTGAAATATATTTAAACAGTAATACTGTACTTTTATAAGGATTTGTCTACTTCCTATTTCAAGTCTATTCTTACTCTCAGACATCATTCAAGTAGACTTGTCAGATTATTCTAAGTATCGTAAACAGTGCCTTTTTGATGGAATTCACACTGTTTTGGGTGTCAGCTTGTGCCATATACAAAGAATTTTGTGGAAGGCAGTTTTAACTTTTTGAAGAATATCTGTCAATATTTACAAAAACATATAAAATTCCATTTTTCTAGTATTTAGCATTTATAGTGAGCAGTGAATAGTTTGGGGGTTTTGTTAGACATACAGTGGTGGTGGCATTATTGATGAGTCATACATGAGACTACAAATTATTTTAAATTATGTTAAATATACACAAATAAAATATCAGCATTTATATAAAAATTTCCAATCTGATCCAGTGGGGGAAACCCCACATAAACCAGTAAGTTTACATTTCTATCTTATTTGACTAAGTGTAAAAAGAGATTCTTTGAAGTGTATAAAGTACCACTATTATGTAATTTGGTTTCATTTTGTTCTTACGGTGTAAATTTAGTATACTGTACTTTTTGCTACTCTTAGCATACTATTTTAGTTAGTTTTTAATTGAAGGTGGACTATTCAAATGTACAGGACCAGTGTCCTATTAGTATGATTAACATAGAAGAGCCACAAGAAACCCATGACAAAATGAATATGAATACACTTTCTAAAATACTTAGAAAAATGTTTCTGCATTTACCATGTTAAATTATTTTAGTATTATAATATTGACATTTCTCATTTAAAAATGCCATAAAACATTTGAATGAGCCACAGAATTTCAGTTGAAATTTTAACATTTTAGCACGCTAAATATATATATCTGAGTTTAAATATCCCATTTAACAACCACATATAAATTCAAGCACTACCACTGGTCAGTTTTGTATGATAGGATAAAAAGTAAATTATTTGCAGTGTAAGTATAACACACTGTCAAATTCTTTTCCTTAAGGTGCATAGTAAATGTACAGATAGTCACAGGCTACTGTTTTGTAATGTATTACATTTCTAATTTATTATTCCTAACCTGTTATAAATGTTTGCAGAAAGAAAAGAATTGACTTTTTCTAATCTATAAAATTATGTTAACTTCTACACATAGGCATTCTAAATAAAATTTTTTAAAAGCACAAACTGTGATCAAAAGACTTTTAATATAACATGGTAACTAAACTAGTCCTTTTTTGTGTATGGGGGGTAACTGCAAAGTATGAAGAAGAGACTGGAATACTGAAAGGGATTTAATAGAATCTAATGTATACTTTGTTACTTTATATTCATTCTTATTGACTCTTCCTAACAACTTTAGGATAAGTGGAGGTTATCCAGATTTTATACACGAAGAATGTGAGACTCAGAAAATTTAAATGACTCCCAAAACTGCACAATGAATAACAGCACAATCTTACTATAAGAGTAAGAACCTAACTTTGAATCCATGTCTACACAGGGTCATATTTAATAAATGTTTGGAACAGCCCATTGCTTGAATCTGTATTGAGTTAAGATAACACCCTGGTGATGAATAGAACCAGAAAAAACAAATATTATTCTTAAGCAAACATGTATACTAAGCCCATATGAAAGTTATTTTCCCGTCAAATCACCTATTTGTCCATACTGAGTCAGCATCGTATGAGTCCCAAGTTTTCCTCCACCCTCCTCCCTTCCCATTATTGCTTGCTTCTCAGAATCCAATTGCCACTTGCTCTCAAGTTTTATTTTAGGAAAAGGTAAGTAGGGGAGAGTCTATTGTTTTCTCCTATCTTGTACATAGGAATGAGTATGGAAAAGAGCCCCTCAATGTGTTACCTCAATGAAACAAAATTACCGTCCTGCAAATGTTGACATGTTTTGACTCTTAAGTGTTCTGTTGTGGTGCTGTGCTAATTGGATTTTGTCTTACAAAAAAGTTGTCAGATAATGGGCCAGGAAAATGGTGATCTGCCACAGCAATTTGGTGAGTAAACCATAAATATTGGAGTGAGTACTTACTCTGTGCTTGGAACTGGACAAAGTGCTTTATAAACCGTATCCACCTCCTCAAAACCTTAGATTTTTCTTTTATGTATGCTATCTACGTTTTTTAAAAGACGAGAAAAGCAGGGCCCAAAAGTTACTTGCTGAATATCACAGATGAGTAAATGACAGAGCAAATCCACTTCTTAATCCAAAGCCCATACCTTTCCTGAAGCCTGTGTCCCTTTCAATATATAAGACAGTATTCTGTGTTCTTTCTGGCTTTCGATTGTTTCCAAAACAATGGACCAATGTGTTACAGCCTATTACTGACCATCGATGAGACTAATGGAATTGAGTGCTCACGTCTATCATTTCTGCTCAAGAGGAGGTTAAATTGTAATGGCTGGGGTTACCTGAGTAAAAGAAATGTGGCAAACCCACTGTGGAAAACACAACCTGAAACTCATGGCCGTGGCCAGGCCCTCCCATCTGTTCATCCTGAAACTGCGTTTGTGATGGGAAGGAAGGACAACGATTGATGCAGTGTGGGCAGAATACGCATGAATCCAAGGGAGAGATGTGACACGAAACAAGCAACTGGCAAGGATGGAAGTCAGCCAAGTTCAACAGTCCTTCCCACAGACCGCGTTGGGTTGACCCAGGCAGTTTCCCGGGAGCCGGCTGGATGGCTCTGTAGGGGAATGGTATATCTAGGGAGCGGGGGAGGAACACCAGGAGCCGCTCCTGGCGGGCTTTGGCCGCTTCTCTGTCTTTGCGGGTCCGACCTACCTTCAATACGCAGCTTTTCTGCCCAGCCATGCAACAGGTAACCCGCCCACCCACCGGAGAAGCTGTGGTGCCACAGCTTCCGGCTTTGACGTATGGCTTCCGGTTTATTCCCCGCCTTTTCCGCTTCCGGCCCCGCCCCCCGCCGCCCTTGTCTGTTTGTGTGGATGTTCAGCCAGGTAGTGAGTGAAGGCGATTCTGGCTGAGTTCTATGGCTGCCGCAGGATCTGTGCTGGCGGCGTTGCAGGTGGCCGAGGTGTTGGAAAACATCTTGAGCCGCTGCGTGGGGCCGGAGGGGCGACAGGTTCTGTGCACGAAGCCCACCGGCGAGGTGCTGCTCAGCCGGGATGGAGGCCGCCTCCTGGAGGCGCTGCACGTAGAGCATCCGATGGCCAGGTACCAGCGCCCCACACCCAGGCCCCGCTGACCCGCTCCCTGAAACCGGCCCATCCTGAGGCCGTGCACCTGTGAAGACGATCCCTGTTAGAGTGCTGCCCAGGGTGTGGCCTGGACCCCAATCTTATTACACCCCAAGAGCACTTCTCACTCCTCCTCCCAAGCTATAAAATACTAAAACAATGTAACTTCGGAAAAGGAAAAAATAAAGCTAAGGGTATATATCAAAGGAACAACCGCCTGTAATTGTGAAAACATGGTTTTAACTTGATTCCAGTGTAGAAAGCCAGCATTTTGAATGTCTGAATTGCTTTATTTCTTGTAATTTTTTTTTTTTTTGGTGCAGGATGATAGTGGCATGTGTTTCCAGTCATCTCAGAAAAACAGGAGATGGTGCTAAAACATTTATTATCTATCTTTGCCATTTACTCAGAGGACTTAATGCAATCACGGAAAAAGAAAAGGATTCGTTGATTTCTGAGAATACTCAAACGCACAAAAGGCATTGGAAAAATTGTTGTCAGTGGAAATTTATTTCCCAAGCGCTACTAACATTTCAGACACAAATATTAGACTGTATTATTGATCAGTTCTTAAGTAAACACTATATGTCCATTTTTTCTTCATCTGCTAAAAAAAGAACATTGTGTAGGAACTCTTTAGAGTTACTCTTAGAAGCATACTTTTATGGAAGAGTGGGAAGAAATAATCTCAAGTTTATTTCACAGTTGATGTGTGACTACTTTTTCAAGTGTGTGACTTACAAAAGTGATATTGAAGTATTTGAGTTAGTGGATGACTGTTTTGTAGAGTTGAATATTGGTGTTACTGGCCTTCCTGTTTCAGATTCGAGGATCGTTGATGGGCTGGTGCTTCACAGAGATTTTTCCGTTTACTGCCCAGCAGATGGGGACATAAGAATAGTGATTGTAACAGAAATTATCCAGCCTCTTTTTTCGACTTCTGCATCTGAGTTTATTCTAAATTCAGAAGCACAATTTCAGAGATCTCAGCTTTGGATTATGGAAAGTATTAAAGCAATAATAACACATTTATATAGTCAGAATGTAAAATTGCTCCTATCTACTGTGAAACAACCAGAGTTAGTTAATTATTATGCAAGACTGAGTGGCATATCAGTGGTGGAGTGTTTATCAGCAGAAGAAGTTTCTCTTATCCAGAGAACCACTGGTCTTTCTCCATGTGTATTACCACAGGCCTCTTCACAGTGTGAAGTTTCTAATACTGCTTTGGTGACATTTTGTAAGCCCCTTACTCTTCGATCCAAAAGGTATGTTCATCTTGGCTTGATTAGCACATGTACTTTTATGCCACACTGTTTAGTTCTTTGTGGGCCAGTTCTGGGTCTTGTTGAACAACACAAGAGTGCTTTACATGGAGCTTTTAAAATGCTTCAGCAGTTGTTTATTGACCTTGACCTAAGTTACGTATTACAAGCCAATGACCAAAATGACACATCAAGTCCTCTTATGTATAAAAATGGCAGAGAAGGTAATCAGTTCCCAGAAATTGGTAATGGCTCAATACAAAGGCCCTATCAGGACGTAATAGTAAAGAACAAAGATAAATTGGGAAAAAAACAAACATATTTAAACATATGTTCAAATTTGGTAGTTTCAGATGCAGAATTAGAAACATATATTCCATATTCAACACCAATGGATACATTCCAAACAGATGAAACACTGAGGTGTTTGTCTCCAAGAAATAAGGTGATAATTGATACCTGTGAACTATTAATTGAGAATAATTCCACTAGTAATTCTACAACAGAAAACACTAGAACAGAAATTTCTTATGAAAATTTGCAAGTCACAAACATTGCTAGAAAGGAGAGGCTGTATAGATACCTGAATATGTCTACTTCCCAGAGTTACTGTTACTCATCTATACCAGCAGGTTGTGTTTTGCCAGTGGGTGGTAATTTTGAGATCTTGTTACATTATTATCTTCTCAACTGTGCCAAAAAATTCCAGCAATCAGAAGAAGCCATAGTTATTAAGTTAATAGCTAACGCACTTTTAGGCATTCCCAAAATTCTTTACACACCTAAGAAAGGAAATTGCAACTTTCCACAAATGTATTTGAGATCTCTCCATGCACTGCAAACCAATCAACCCATGGTAAGCAGTCAGGTGGGTTTGGAGTCAGTATCTAGTAAGTACCAGTTACTAAATTCAGTTCTTCAGTGTTTGACAAAAATATTAACTACTGATCTGATAATCAATGTTAAGAGACAACCACAGAAAATTTGTGAACAAGATTCAGAAGATGAACTTTAACATCAAAAGATTTTATTAACCAAACTTTTATCCAATTTAAACCATAAAGTAAAGCAGGCATATGATTACTGACTCTCAAGCATTTAATTCAGCCTGCTTAGGAAAAAAAATTGAGAAGTACGGAAGGCCACAAGACCATTCAGATACAAATATTAGACTACTTTGTGGAACTAAACTAAGCAGGAAGCCAGAGTCCAACTAGGTGGATGTGTCTTTCCCCTTTCTGGTCTCTGTGGTTCAGTTCTGTGTTAGTCTTTCTATGGGAAGGTGTTTGATTTTAGCTTCTTTTCTCTCTTCATGCTCTCCTTCACCTTTCTTAATTTCAGATTTGGATGGGGTCTTCAAATGCCATCTTGTTTTAATTGTTTATAAATAAACAGGTTATTTGCTTCGTTTAAAACAATTTCCCTACTTATAATTTGTAAAGCAGTAAATAAAAGTTAAAAAAAAAAAGCATAGAGATTGAGTTGTTTTTTGCTTTTATGTGCTACTTGGTTTATTTTTATTTCACTTGGAAAAATGTGGATAAGTTTTCATCATTCATGCACCATTTAATGTTACCAGAAATAGAGCTGCGCATTGTGAATTTATTTTTATTTCCATAATTAAAAAGTAATAGCAGAAAATATTTAAATACTTTTCATTTTTTCCTGACTCCTAAAATCTTGCAAAGATATTTCATTACTTTCTGGTTTTCTGGTATTTGGTGCATTAAAGGCTTAAAAATGCAATACTATGCACCTCCCATGGATAAGAACAGTGTCTTCTACTTTTAGTAGTTCTCTGTAACACCCAAAAAAAGTATTTTTGTTTATACCAAGTATTCAGACATGCTTGGTGAAATAAATGTTATTATCAATCTGTTCCCCTATATACATGTTTCTAAGTTACTTATTCAACAAAGTGTTACTGAATGCTTACTGTGTGCCAAATACTGGGCTCATTGCTGAATATACCATGCCTTCATGCACTTTTCTTCAAAGATTAATGGATGGATAGGTGACACTACTTGGAGTGGGATTGAATTTCAGAAAATTCAATTTCGGAAAATTGAATAAGTGGTGACAAGTAATGTATTTAAAAACTAGCATCCTGGGCTGGTAGAGTGCTTGCCTAGCAAACATGGGGTCCTGAGTTCAAGCCTCAGTCTCAAACAAACAAAATTTAGCATCTTATCATGCAGTATCGTGATCTTTTAAGTATAGATCTGTTTTTAAAGGTTTATGCTATACGGTGCATTATTTTATTTATGTGAATATGGAGAGAATAATCAGTTCCATCAGTGAATGAGCCTGTGTTAAATTACTATGCATTCTTTCCATTCATTTTTTAAATTGCCTCTCAGATCTTTTTGCTAACATGCCCAGTAGTTTGCATTGGTACACATTTAACAGGTACAAATGTCAGTAGTTCAGGAGCCCCCTTATAAACTGTGACCAGGTCATTGTATGATTGACACCTGCTATAATATGCACAAAATAAATGTCCAGTGTCTCTTAAGGGGACACTTAAGAGTCATTTGGTCCTCACAGATGAGGTTTTAATTATTTCTATAAAGTTTTGTGGACAAAGGATCTGTTCGGGAAAGAAGACAGAGTGTAAACATAGAGATAAAACTTTCATGAGTTTTTCTTATCTACAGAATGACACCAGAGAGTTTATATCACTGGCTTAGATTGAAGAGCACTTTTTTAAAAATGTAATTAAATTTATACTCTCTTCCACAAGAGATTTGGGGTGGCCAGTCCTAAGGACAAAATTAGGGTCAAGTCTCAATAAGAATTAAAGAACAAGGAAAAATGTGAAGATAATTTGAAATCAAGGTCATTTCCCTGTTTTCCCCTGATGCATAATGAGCATTCCCAATACTTGGTACATTTGAGTCATCTTATTACCTCTGAGGGTTCTGGGACGTGACTGAGCTCTGTTGGACTTCACTGCATTCACTTGGCTGAGCTATCAAAAAAGTCAGCAGAGGTTCAAGGGAGAACGCAGGCCTCTTCAAAGAGCATGTGGGATGGGATATATTGCAGCAGCTACCTGTGGAAAGTACAATCTGCTACACCATGGGAAGGAAAAAGAAGACAAATATGCATTAACTTCTCAGCTTAGGTTTTATTGTTTTTTGAAGTTACATGTCAGTCATACTCCCACAAACATTTTCTCCAATAACCTTTATCAACCCCATTTTTCTCCCACTGAGCCTGCAGGAACCATTTTAATCTTCAGAACAATAGATATTAACTAATGGAACATGAACATCTTGAACTGCTTCAGGCAGCAGAGCTGTTTAATCATGTTATACAGGAAGGAAGTGTCATGGCACTCATGCTTCGTGCTTAAAGGAATGGAAAAGAGAAAAGCCCGGACAGTTACCAGAAATTGCTCCTCCCCCCAGAAGGACTAGAATGTCTTACAAAAAGCAATCCACAAACTATATATATATATGCAACTTTGCAAGAAAAAAAGATAGGTATCAGCCTGGAAGTGGATATATAAACTAAAAGGGACAAGTGGAAGGGATACATGCAACTTCTATTCACTGGCTAAGGAAAAAATATGATTGTGTTGCATTCCCTACCCTTTGTCATACTGTGACTGGAACATGGATTGTCTGCAGCTGAGCTTTGACAGCAGCAAAGGACAAGGCCCTAAGGGAAGGCACAGAAAGGAAGGAAGGAGTTTGGATCCCCACATGGCCAAGTGGTGTCTCAGTCACCTGTGCTACTTACCTCAAGTCCATTATGTGCCAGCAACATAATTTCTACGTCATGAGTCTGTATTTTGAACTTTGTTGTGGCAGTTCTACCTTTATTTCAGGACAGACAGCAAAATCTCTTCTATGGCTGTATGACTAACTTTTTGAAAATAGTAAAGTAGCTGTGTAATTATCTAGTTTTAGGCTTTATTAAACTTTCACTGTATTTATTTTTTCCAAGATGTTTTTAAGTGGGGCATACTTTAAATTATCTTCTGAACTGTTTTGCATTGTGAAACTATCAATTATTTCACACTTCAGTGGATGTGTGATACACATGAACTTCTTGCAGTGGTCAGGAAGTCAGGAAAATGGCACTGTTTTTTCCTTTGTGAGTTGACAAAGGATGGAGAAAAAAGAAGAACCATAGGAAATAAACTGTGAGATGGATTGAGAGTTTATTGGAACCATGAAATCGTTCTGAACAGAGTGACTGCAGCAATGAAAATACGCTGGGTTCTGCAGAAATCCTTAGAAAGGCACTGAACTCTTCACAATATACAGAGTAAAGACTTCAGTGACTTTTATTTAAACGTTAAGTATGTAAGCAACTGCATAATACTAGAGGACTAAGTCACAGGTGGTACACACCTGAAATCCCAGCACCTGGGAAGTTGAGGCAGGGAGGTTGCAAGTTCTTGGACAGTCTCAAGAAAGGCTAGAAGACGTAGAAACATCAATATAACAGCACATGCTTAGAAACAGATGAAAGAATGAATGCAGTGCTGTACCACTGAGTACAAAATCACCTTTGGTAAAGCTAACAGGGCCATACCAAACTAACCAAAATAAAATGGAGCACAACTGTACAACTCCTTCAAGTTTTCAGCTCCTTAATATAGAATTTGCCTCCATTGAAACTTCATTTGGGCCTTTGTAACTACAGACTCTCAGCTTATGTCTCACCTCCTTTACAACTGTGAACAGAGAAGCTAGCCTTTACTTGCTTTGTGAAGTGTTCAAGTTGACCATTTTTTCAAGGAGCAAGGAAATCCACCATGAGCCATATTTTTATTTCTTGAATCTTTGCCTAAGGTCCAGTGTGCATCATACTTCCTAATGCAAAAAGTCAGGATGGAGCATCCAAAAGTAAGTACACCATATACAAGAAGCAATTCGGGGGGCATATAACAGGGATGCTAGTTTTTATGGGAGTTTCTTCATGATTTTTTGGTCTTTCCTAATTGGGACTACGCGTCCATATTCAGATATTTTGTTGTGCCTTATTTTGAAATCTGTAAATCTGATGCCTCCTATAAAAACCCTAGGGTTCTTTGGTTTATTTTTTTTCGGGGAGGTTGCTTGCTTGTTGGTAGGACTTGGGTCTGAAATCAGGGCATTGTGCTTGCAAAGCAGACTGTCTGCAGCTTGAGCTACACTTCCACTTCAGAAACCCTAATTGTTGAGACTGCCCTCCTCCGTCTGCACATGCACCTTAAGGTCGGATTGTGACTGAGGGCCTGTGATGGGACTTTCCAATGTGCCTGGCTAACCTGTACTAATTAATTTTATGGTGAAAACTAGAAATATGCATGGTTATTGTGTTGTCACAATGCCCATGAATTGGGTTGGAAGACTGTATGAAAACAGAAGAATATTTTTAGTTTGACACCTGTGTTACTCAGCTTTGTTTCACTGTGACAAAATACCAGAGACAACCTCAGATTTTGTTTGGGCTCATGCTTTGAGATTTCAGTCCATGGTTGCTTGGCTCTATTGTTAGAGGACCTGTGGCAAGGCTGACATCATGGCAAAGAGCATGTGGTGGAACAAAAGCTGCTCACCTTGTGGCATCCAGGAAGAAAAAACAGAGAAAAGGGCCAGGGTCCCAGTACACCTTTCAAGGGCAAACCTCAATGACCTAACTTCCAACTAGGCCTTGCCTCCTAAAAGTTTCCACCACTTCCCAATATCACCATCAGCTGGAGACCAGGTCCCCAGCCTTCCAGGGATATGTAAAATCCAAAACGTGCGTTGGTGGAATGGCTCAAGTGGTAGAGTGCCTGCCTTGCAAGCATTAAGGCCGTAAGTTCAAATGCCCCCACACACCCAAAAAAAATAAAGAATCAAAACTGAAACAACATTCAATTTATTACTGTTTGGAAGGCAATTTCTCAAATTAGTTATTCAAATCTCACATTGACTTAGGCTAGCCTATGGGTCCTGTGTAGACCAACTATGCAGATTGAATTCTTGGCAAAATTTCTGGAGAAAAGACTCATCCTATACTGTCTGATTCTAAATGGGTCTGTGTCTTTTGTTATCTTTGACTAATTTACAAATTTGTAGAAATTGAAATTGACTTGTAGTAAGTTGATGGTGATGCAAATGATTCTTGCTCTTATAAAAACAAATGAATTTTGTCCAATGAATGCATATCAACTATATCAATTTCCACTCTGTGAAAAAGGCTAGTTTTGCATTATCAGTGTGTTAGCTTTCTGCTACTGTTACAAAATACCTGATAAAATCATCTTAAAAGCAGTTTTTGAAAAATTTTGGCTAATGGTTTCAGAGGTTTCAGTCCATAGTCACTTGGGTCCATTGTTTCTAGGCCTATGGGAGGCAGAACATTGTGGTCACGGTGGGAGG